TCAACATGAACATATGTCATCATGTTCACAAACATCAGCACCTGGGTTTTAAAGTAGTTGCTGTGGTCAGGCAAGGATTGAAAACCCCCAGTAGGAGCTAAGGGCAACTTCAAAGCCAGACTGACTACAGAGTAAAACCTTGTTTTAAGCAAAACAAAAAAACAACAAAAACTAAACAATAAAACAACAAAAGAATAAACAAAACAAAATCCCAAACAAGGAGGAGCTCTTTTTACTGAGACATCAAAGTAATAAGTCAGGCTGGGGAGATAGCTCAGAAATCTTAGTGTCTGCATGGCAAGCACAGGGACCTGGGCTCGATCCCTGGCAAGTGCAAGGGCCTGAGTTCAAGGGTACTGTATGCTGCCAACCCTAGAACCCCAGGCATGCCATACTGGCCACCAAAGTCAGGCTTGGGGGTGCACACCTGTAATCCCAATACTAGGGAAGCTGAAACAGGAGGATCACTATTGAGTCCAAGCTGCATAGTGAGACCTTATACCAAACAAATACACACATACATACAAATAAATCATTGGCCTCTTATAGATGCGACTTAGAAAACTCAAGTACACTCCTACGTGTGGATCTCTTAACCCAGAAGTCAGTCTGTCCTTTGAGTAACTAATTCAGTAAGGGCTGGATCAGCCCTCCTCCATTCCCTAGGGACTGTGCTCTAGTTGCCTCACCCCAGGTAACAGCTCCAGTCTGTCTCTTCTTTTCCTCAAGCAGACTCTTGTTTTCAAATTGTTTCTCTTTGCTTAAAACATACATGCAGGCACACACTCACTCTACAACAGTCTCTGGTTCCTCTCACTTGAATCAGCTCTACTTTCCAGGTTTTATCAAATCTTTTTTGTGGGCTGATACCACTAAAAAAGGTTTACGTTTAACTTTGGGGAACAGTTTTTTTTTTTTTTGAGATTATTAGTTTATTTCAAGAAATCTGAAAAATGGAGCAACTTACTATTCAAAATTCTTGTACCTAGATACTGATAACAGTTTAATGCTTTCTCAGTTTTGCCCCATGGATATAATTTTTCATATGGAAGAGATCCTGCAATACATATGAAATTTGTATACGCTGTATGTCCACCATGCTTTGCTCTTTTTAAAAAATGGTCTTGGGGAATGAATCCTGGGCCTTTTCTGTACAGGACAAACATTCTACATTGAGCTTCATCCCCAGGTCTTTATTTTGGTGTTTGATATAGGGTCTTAATTAAGCTGCCAGGGTAGATATAAATTTGCAAACTTCCTGCTTTAACCTCCTATGTAGCCAGGATTTACAGGCAGACATGTACTACCATACCCATGAATCCATTCTTACTGAAAAGGACTCTCCTCTCCCAACTCTGTTCAAACCTCTTAGAACTGTCCTCAATTTCACTTAACCTTACCTGCCATCTCTTTACTTCCTCTATGCTCAATTACACATTTACTATCTCCAACTCTTTACTTCTCTTCCATTCTTTGGCTCACTAGTTTGGTTTCTGCTTCCCAATACCCTACTGAATTGCTTTGATGACAGTAATATCCTTTAGCTGATAAACCCAAAGGAATCCTTTTTTCCTGTCTTTATCTTAACTGACCCCTCTGTAGAACACAGTATGCTATTCCAGGCTTTATCATAGAATTATGCCAGACAGAAAAACCACATGTATTTGGGCCATATGGACTTCTTGTAATAGGGTTTCACTATGCAGTTCAGGCTGGCCTGGAACTCAAACTCATTCTCCTGCCTCAGCCTCCTGAGTGCTGAGATTACAGGTGTATACCACCATGCCTGGCCAAACCTTTTTTTTTTCCCCCAACAAATGAACTTTTTGTCTTTTATTGGGAGATCTTTATAAAAGGGACATGTTACCAGTTTTTAGTTGGTCACATCTTGGTCAGTTTGTAACGTCTCAAAACCCTGAAATAAGTAGTTAGTCCTACCTGTATTTTCTGGTTTTTAAAACATACTTGGTTTTTTAATGCCATTTACTGTTTGTATTTTCTATACATTTCTTCAAATTCTTTGTGGAAAAAGGTTACAAATTAGCTTGAAAAACCTTCTATTAGTTCAATGAGAAGAAAGGTCTGTACTAATATTGTTTAGACAAGGGGCCGGGGAGATAGATGGCTCAGTGGAATAAGCGCTTCCCTGGCAAGCGCAAGGGCCTGAGTTCAATCCCTGGTTCAGCCACACCCACACCCACACCCACACCCACTGGACAAGATATCATGTCTGCATCTTGTCCTCTGAATATTACGAAGACAACAATATTCAATGTATTAATTGTAACTATCCTACTAACCTGTTTTGAAACTGTTTCACTGCTATTCCTCATTAAAACAAAACCAAAAAATAATAAAAAATAAACTTGGGGCCGGGGAGATGGCTCAGTAGAATAAGCCTTCCCTGGCAAGCGCAAGGGCCTGCGTTCAATCCCCAGTTCCGCAAATAAATAAATAAATAAATGAAAACACATGCATTTACATTAATAACTATAGAAAAATCATACAAATACAAAAAAGTATCAACTCAGAACACACCAATGGAAAAGCCCAAACTAAAACTCTAGAACTTAGTAAAAATTATAAAATCTTTCCAAAAGATATAGAGACCTCACTAAATGGGGATAGTACTAGCTACATCCATGCTTAGAAGTACCAACCATTATAAATATGCTAATCTTTCCAAATTCATGTAACTTTTTTTTGAGACAGGGTCTTGCTATATAATATAGTTCAGGCTGGCCTTGAACTCCTGGCAATCCTGCCTAAGGAATGCTGAGACTATAGGTGTGCACCACCATGTCTGGCTTTTTAATACTTTTATGCATTTGGTACAAGATCTCACTACACAGTTCTGACTGAGAGTGAGCCTGTTTTCAGCCTCCCCAGCCCTGGGATTACAGGCGTGTGCCGGGGGGTGGGACTGGCCCAGCATGTGATTCCAGGATTGAACTCCAGTCCCTGTGCTTGCCTAAGTGGGTACTAAGTCCGCTGAGCTATCTTGCCAGCCCTGGCTTCATATATTTTAAAGTTTGCAAAATAAACACTAAGGATAGCAATAAAATTTCTTTCTTTCTTTTTTTTTTTGACGGAACTGGGGATTGAACTCAGACCCTTGCATTTGCCAAGGAAGTCCTTATTCCACTGAGCCATCTCCCCGGCCCTTAAAATTTCTATGAAATAATGATGACCTATTTTCAAATATTAACATACAATTAAGCCAGAATAGGGGGCCTGCCCCTTAGCTCAGTTCTTTAAGTGGCTGCTTCAATAAAACAGTCAGGCTCAGGTTGCTGTGGTTCGATCCCCACAACTCAAGCCAGCCAATCATGCACTGAAGGCATTCGGAGCAAAAAAACAAAAGAAAAAAAACAAAAACAAAAAACCCCCAGAATAATCAATATGCTATGGTTCCATCATTATCACAGGCAAGCAATTTAAACAATATAGAATCTGGAAAAAATGCTAGCATATAAAAAGCTGTCGGGCCGGGGAGATGGCTCAGTGGAATAAGTGCTTCCCTGGCAAGCGCAAGGGCCTGAGTTCAATACCCGGTTCCGCAAAAATAAAATAAAATAAAAAGCTGTCACTTGAAATTAGTGGAGAAGAGTATTCCCCCCCCCATAATTTTATTGACAGACAAATAGCAACGAGTCAGTTTCAAATCAAATTGGGAGGACAGTTTCAATAATTAACACACTGCATACTTTTTATTTATTTGTGTGTGTGGCCAGCTCAGCCCACCAGGGGGCGGGGCTGGCTGGCATGTGGTGCTGGAGGATTGAACCGTAGTCCCTGTGCTTTGCTAAGCTTGTTCTAAGTAAGTGCTTTAGACCACTGAGCCATCTCACCAAGATCTCACTCATCATCAGCCCCAAGAAGAGTATTATCTCATAAAAGATGCTTAGAAAAACTACTTAAAAATACTGAATTATCTTTACTCCATTTGGATCATTGATACTCTGTTGTAGCATAACATAAAAAGGCATTAACAAACAACTAAAAAAAAATCTGTAATCCTTAAGAAACATTCGCAAAGACATATACATGAATAGATTTCTAAGAATGACAGAAGCCTTGTGTTTTAGTAAGTGTAGGAAAAACCATAAGAGATTTTAACCAACTAAGTAAAAAATTATTATATGCCAAAAACATGCTGAACAAGATTAAAAAGAAAATAAGAGCCAGTAAGATAGCTCAGTGGACTAAGTGCCTACTTAGGCAAGTGCGGGGACCAGGGTTTGATCCCTAGTACCCCATGCCCTGCTGGCCCTGCCCCCAAGTGTGCTGAGTGGCGACAGTGACAGAGTTCGGGTGTGGTGACATGCCCAGCGCTGTAATCCCAGCGCTGGGAAGGCTGAAACAGAAGGATCACTATGAGTCCAAGATGCATAGTGAGACCCTATCACAAATACATTAGAAACAAAAATAAAAAGGTTAAAAAAATCAAATGGTGATCTGCAACTTTTACTTCAAAACTTTAAGAACACCAAGACCGAGCCTAGCATAGTAATGTACACCTGTAATCCCTGTTACTCAGGAGGTTAGGAGGCAGAAGGATCACAAATTTAAGGCTGGCCTGGGTAACTTAAGACGTTGTCTCAAAATGAAAAAGATAAATTAGCTAGACATGACATTGTAATTGGGGTCTTGGGTTCAATCCGTAGGACTAAATCAAAACACCAGAATTAGCTGAGAACAGTAGATTGTGCCTACATAGTCCCAAAGTACTTCAGTGTTGTGGTTTGTGTCTAGTTATCCCCCCAAAGCCTCATGTAGTCATGGGCGGACTTCTAGAGCTTGTGATTAACTCATGATCCACTGGGATTATGCGGGTGAGTTCTGCTGGGATTATGGGTGTAAGTACTACACCCAGCCTGGGGCAGAGAGCCTGAATGCAGCATAAGGGAGGCAGACTTGCTCTCTATAGCCATTTGTTGCCGCTATTCCTATTTGCTCGTTTTTTTGTTTTTTTTTTTAATATTTATTTATTGAGATTCGAAGGCTGCGATGACTTCTGCACTGACCCAGGGGCTGGAGCGAATCCCAGACCAGCTGGGCTACCTGGTGCTGAGTGAAGGTGCAGTGCTAGCGTCGTCTGGGGATCTCGAAAATGACGAGCAGGCAGCCAGTGCCATCTCTGAGCTGGTCAGCACAGCTTGCAGCTTCCGACTGCACCATGGCATGAATGTTCCCTTCAATCGCCTGTCTGTGGTCTTTGGAGAACACACGCTGCTGGTGACTGTGTCAGGACAGAGGGTGTTTGTGGTGAAGAGGCAGAACCGAGGCCGGGAACCTATTGACGTCTGAGCCTGCCAGACGGTCAGGGTCGGAGCAGTGGACTGGGCCTCTGGGTCTCTGTGTTGAGGAGAAGTACACACCCCGACACTTTCCTCGGCTTGCTGCTGGAACCAGGGCCTTCTGGTCATCCACATTTACCTGAAGAGTAGAGACTTGGGGATTTTGTGCTATGTTAAGAACTTGAGCAAGGGGGCCCCCTTTCTTTCCTTCCTCCACCACCCTCCCCAATAAACATGAACCTAGTATGAAAAAAAATTATTTATTTATTTATTTGTGTGTGTGTGTGTGTGTGTGTGTGTGTGTGTGGCCAGCTCAGCCCACGAGGGGGCGGGGCTGGCTGGCATGTGGTGCTGGGGGATTGAACCGCGGTCCCTTGTACTTTGCCAAGCTTGTTCTAAGTAGGTGCTTTAGACCACTGAGCCATCTCACCAGCCCCAACTATTAGCCTTTAACTTCGGCATCCTCTGTAGTAATGGACACAAGAGTGCTAGGTAAACAGTAAGACATGTGATTACCAGTGTTACTGTTATATGAAACATATACTTAGTCTTGCAAGGACAAGCACAGGGAAAAACAAAACTTTATATGCTAAGTAAAGTCTTAGCTATATGAATTTATTTTTAAATTGTTATTTATTTATTCATGGGAGGGTTGCAATAGGACCATGCTATATATATAATTCAGACTGGCCTTGAACTCACCATGTAGCCCAGGCTCTCAAACTTGCAGTGATACTCCCATTTCAGCCTTCCAAATGATGGGATTATAGGCACGTACCACCATGCCATGATATTATTACTTTGATGGATTGAGGATTGAACCCAAGGCCCAAAGCATCCTAAGCAGTTGCTCTATGCTAGTTCTGCATTATTTCTTTAATCCTTTTATATATTTGTGTTTTGGAGACAGTATATGTATATAGCTCACACTGGCCTTGAATATGTATGTTGCCCAGGTTGACCTTGAACTTGTAATCCTCTTGCCTCTGCCTACTGAATGTCAAGAATATAGAAATATTCAGGGCTGGGGAGATAGCTCAGCAGTCTAAGTGCCTGGCAAGCACAAGGACCCAGGTTCAATCCCAAGTACCGTATGCCATGCTGGCACAGTGCCATGCTGGCCACTGATAGGGCACGCCTGTGAACACAGAGCTTGGGAGACTGGGACAGGAGGATAACTACACGGCTGAGCTGCGTAGTGAGACCCTGTACCAAATAAATAAATAAATAAATATTAAAACAAATAAATTTAAAACAAATAAATTAAATATTCAGGACAGTTTTGTTTTCTTTCCTTGTGTAGTACTAGGGACTGAAGCTGGCATGCATACAATGGAAGCCAAGAACTCTACCACTTAGTTACATCCCCAACCCTTTTGTTTTGACATAAGGTCTTGCTAAACTGCCCAGGCTGGAAATCCTCCTGTCTCAGACTTCTAGGTAAATGGGATTACAGGCATGTGCCCCGATGTATCATACCTTTTCATTTTTTTTTTTTTTTTTTTTTTTTTACTATGGATCAAACTGAGGACCCTGCGCTTGCCAGGCAGGTGCTTATTCTACTAAACTACGCATGTATCACATCTTAAAAATAGGAAAATACAAATCTTGGCCAGGAATATAGCTCAGTGGCACAAGTGCCTGCCTAGCAAGTGCAAAGTCCTAAATTAAGAGTCCTGGTTTGAGAAAAAAGAAAAAAGAGAAGAAAAGCGAAGTGACAAACCTATAATTAATCCTTTTTAAATTTTTTATTTTTTGGTGGTACCAGGGATCAAACTCAGGACCTTGAACTTACCAGGCATGCACTTATTCCACTGAGCTATCTTCCCGGTCTCCCGATGATTAATCTTAACAATACAACTATAGGTTAGATTTTTAAAACTCACCGTAAAATAAATGCTAATTATGAATACATACAACCTCTCGATACATAAAAATTTAGTAACGTATCATCTATAATTATACCACCATAGAGCAAATGTGTTAGAAAATTCCCAAAGGAAAGCAAACAAAATAACCTTGGCAAAGTTTAGACATTTGGGGAGGCTGATTATAAAATATTCATGTATGCAAAACAATCTACTTCTTATATGACAGTAAGAACAACAATCTCCCGGAAGTCTATTTTATAAATGAAACCACCACAACTTTTTTTTCAATATACTACTGGCTCTTACAAGGGACAGCTGACTGCTTAAAACTCCAACGTAGCTGGGGAGATAGCTCAGTAGAATAAGCACTTGCCTGGCAAGCACAAGGGCCTGAGTTCAATCCTCAGTTCTACAAAAATCAATCAATCAGAAGCCGAAGCCATTACTCTTGGGAGGCGTTTGGAGAGTGAGACACATGGGTAAAGGAGAGGTGTCCCGCGCCTCCCTTCTACCTGGCACCAGCTTGGAGAGTCCCACGCGAGCAGGACAGTAGCTTCCTGGCGTGCTTTGTGCCACACTGACATTGCTCTCCTAGGATGGCAGCTTCCCACCTGTTTTCCACGAGTGCTGTGTCCACACAGGACCCTGCTTGTCTCCAAGAGTCAGCGTTCCCTCCCTCAAAGCACCATTCCTGTTCCCAGGACCTGTGCCTGCTTCCGTGCCATGCTCTGGTGCCTCACATGCCCGCCAGGGATTCTAATCAGGAGTCCGTGACCTTCCAGGATGTGGCTGTGGACTTTACTGAGAAGGAGTGGCCCCTCCTGGATCCCTCTCAGAGGAAGCTGTACAGAGATGTTACGCTGGAGAACTACAACAACTTGACCTCACTGGGGTATCAGGTTGGCAAACCCAGCTCATCTCTCACCTGGAGCAAGAGGAGGAGCCACGGACTGAGGAGATGGGCACTACACAAGGGGCCTGTCCAGATTGGGAAACTCCATCTAAAACTAAGTGGACAATTCTCATGGAAGATATATTTGGGAATGAAACTTCCAGTGGCGTGACGATGGATCTCACTACGCACCTCCGACTCATAGTGATCCTCCTGTCTCAGCCTTGCCAGCACTCAGATTACAGCACAATCTGTACCTCACCCTCAGATACCTGCTGGAGAAGGCAGCTAGGCAGCACTTCCAAAGGAGCAGTGTCTTGCCAAGGGAACTAACTCCAAGCAAACGAATAAATTTTGTGTCTGTAAATATAGCATACACTGCTGACTTTGAATCACTGTATCAGACACTTCACCCTGGTTTTCTGTGATCTCTCAGAAGTGCAGAAGCTGAAGCTGCTTGGAGACAGAGAATAAATGTCCTAGTTAGAGGCAAAGCTAGAATTCAGACATAGAAATCTGCCCGAGTCCAGAGTGCTCACCGGTCTTCAAGCTGACCCAAAGTGGGGTGTAGGTTTGTGCTCATGGTGCAGGAGTGTCTGCCAGTGGAGCTGAGCCACCTATAAAGACTGTTTGATCTTCTAGCTCTCTGTTGTAGGGGAGTCCGTCCCTGGGGCATTTCCTGGTCTTATCCTTACTTCCCTGCTATGCGCCACAGAGCTCACCTGTAGCCTGCAGTTCTGCTAGAACTCTGCCTAAGGCCAAGCCTGAGAAAGGGCACCTCTCACATATGGCTTCCTGGATGCCCTGAGTCAAGACTGGGAGGATACCCTGAGCCCTATCCAACATGATCAGCCCATCCTAGTCAGTTTCCCTCCCAGGAAATGGCAGGGATTTGAACACAGAGCCTTTTTGACCTTTATGCTCTGTTGTCCCTCAAGGGCAGGTGCCTTCAGAACTGGGATGCATGGGAGGGTAGTGGCAAGATCTCTCTAAAAGGGTGACAGTTTTTGTTTGAACACTAACTTTTTTTTTTAATATTTATTTTTATTTATTACATTTATTTATTGTGTGTGTGTGTGGGGCCAGCTCAGCCCACCAGGGGGCGGGTCTGGCTGGCATGTGGTGCTGGGGATCGAACCGTGGTCCCTGTGCTTTGCCAAGCTTGTTTCAAGTAGGTGCTTTAGACTACTGAGCCATCTCTCCAGCCCTGAACACTAACTTCTGAGTAGTAGTAGTCAGATGTGAGGAATGTGGGACCAGGCAAGACTGATAGCAAGTGGATTGCATTGCAGTTCTGTTTCAGAACTGGCTTATACAGATTGACAAGGCCAGAATTTTATTTCTCTTAAAAATAGATACTACAGTGGTTTCCTGGAAAAAAAAAAAAAAAAAAAAATCAATCAATCAATCAATCAATTTCAGGGAATTCAGTGTGCCATCTTTAAAAAAAAAAAACAAAAAAACTCCAATGTATTTCCAAAAGGCGGTAAAGACTGTTACACTATACTCACAAAAAAAATAGCAGCCCTTTGAATAAATGTTCTGTATTACCAAAAAATTAAAGCAAAAAAAAAAAAAAAAAAGCAGCCCTATACTCCACAAGCTTCCACAAATTAGGCTTAGTCTAACATGAAAATTATCTGACAACCTGTCATACAAAGGTATTTCCAATCATCAGACAGTAGAGAACAGAGGAGATACCATGTGGTTCTCTTTTCTGTATCTTCAAATTAAAAGAACATTGACTGAAAAACCTAGTCTGGTATTCTTACATTAAGTGTCATGGGATAAAAGGAAGAAAAAAAGAAATTAAAACTAAGTAATCCATTTCTGCTGGGAACAAAAGGAATGATTTTTTTCCTAAATGTGGACACTAAAGCAATAACTATTTAAACTTTGCAAAAGAACACTTTTTCTCTACTACTCCTGAAAACACATGTGCCATCATATCATAGCTAAAGATATATCAAAACAAAGATCATAACATTAACAACTATCAACTAGCATCAAGAAAGTTAGTTCAGGCCAGCCAAATAGCTCAGCGGATTGAAGTGCCTGTACAAGCAGGCCCAGGGGCGGGGGGTTCAATCCCCAGGGCCTGCCATGCCAACCCTGCCCCTGGGGCACGCTGATACACAATTGAGACTGGGCCTGGTGTCAAGTGCCTGTAATCCCAGTTCTTAGGGATCACTACAAGTCCGATCTACTAGTGAGACCCTGAACGTCCTGTAAACCCTTCCCTAAAATACAAAAGAAAAAAAAAAAAAGAAAGAAAGTTAGTTAGGCATGGTGGCACTCACCTGTAATCTCAGCACTCTGGGAGGCTGAGGCAGGAAGATCAATGCACGTTCAAGACCAGCCTGGGCTACAAAGTGAGCTCAAAGCCAGCCCCTGAACTGCATAGTGAGACCCTATCTCAAGAAGGTAAAACAACCACCACCACCTGGTTATTATTTAAGTTTTGAATCTAGAAAATACATGCTAA